AACTGAGGCTTTGAGAGAAAGAACAAAAGATGCTACTAAATCCAGGATGAGAGGCGATCACAGAGTAATTTGTCCTTTTTATTCTATATTTACATATTCTCTGCCTTGTTCTATAAGAGACTGAAGACAGCTGAAAATAGTCTAGGAAGCTAATTGAAATAGTCACAGGGATATTTTCAAACCTTTTCAGATTTCTAAACAAGGAGTTATATATATTATATATTACGTATTTTTTCATAATCAATTCACATACTCATAAAAGATTATGAAGAAATTCTTTAAATAAACTCCTTTAAAATGTATTCCAATTTCTGGAGTGCTATATTTAATATGACTATATCAGATTATGTAATATACAATTATATATTACTCTACTGGCTTGAAATTAATTCACATGTTATGACTGGGGAGGTTTTGCCAGCCTACAAGCTAAGCAATTACTTCTGTTGATGCACTCACTCCACAGTACTTAGATTCAGAGGAATTGGGTCACCATTTAGAGTCAAAATATTTACTCTGAGCTCTTTCCCCTCTACTAAGAGAGACTTAGCCATGAGTTACTTCATTTCCTAAAATGTCATCTTATGTAACAATGCTCTCCAGATGAAACTTCCGATCCATTTTTTTGCCCATTAGCCTTCCTTCCAACATGCCTCTCCTCCTAACTTTAAAAAACTGGCCGTAGGATATGAAAATGGTAGATTTGGCTTACTGAGAAATGAAGACAATGAATCTTGATTTTACATTAGCTCCATGAGAAAAAAAATATGGCAATAATTCTGTCCTTTAAAATCCCAAGCAAAGGAAAAATGAGGTCTTCCACTGCAGTAAATGCCTCTCAAGGCATGCAAGAGCAGGCATGGCCTGTGTGGGTAGCCCTCACAATGGAATGGGGAGTGGCTAACGCAGAGTAAAACCAGATCTGGTTAGAACACAGTAAATTTAATACTGGCATCCCTAAAAAATGTTATAAATTTCCTACTCAGTTAAAAGTATTTATGACATAGTATCTTCTCAATCTAAAATTCACCTGGCAAAAAAAGAAGAATCAGTTCTTACGTTCTAATCAGCTTAAAAATGGACTGTCACTCATGGATATGGACAATAGACTAGTGGTTACCAGAGGGTGGGCAGGGAGAGGGAGGTAGATGGGGCGAAAGGGATCAAATATGTGGTGACAGAAAGAAATCTAACTAACTTTATATTGTCTTGAGATTAACTTTTACTTATCTCACTTGACAAATATTTACTGCATACTATCTATATGTCAGGCACTTTGCTAGACAATGGGGTGAGAGGGGTGACCCAGACAGAACTAGAGAGGGCTAACTGAAAGCAGAAAGAAAATGAAATCCCTATCATCATTTTTGCCAACAAAAGTTGTTGATTGAGGAAAATTTTATGATTTCTATACTTTAATTCAAAATGCTGGTAATATAGTTCATTATTATTGTATACCTGGATAACATAAATATATTAACATGTTTCTATTCTTCTTGGGCCATGATTAAATTTCACAGTAAAAAACCGAGAAAACTATTTTGACAACAAATTAGATATTTTTTAAAAACATAATTGAGCAATAAAAAATTGCACTTCATCTTTTATTCACTGCAACCATTTCCCCATGATAACACTATAGTAAACAGATGCTTCCATAAGCCCAGAGAAGTACCCACTTTTGCTTTCCTATAAAAGCCTAATTTTTTTTATACTCCTTTTAATAGTAAAGATACAAATTTAAGAGGAAGAGAAAAATGTCAGGCCCTAGACTTTTATAGTATTATAACAACATTGACTATTATATTTCTACCACACATGACATGTATATTAGGATTATTAGATTAATAACGCATCCAATATTTTTTTAAAGTCTGTGTGAAAAGAAGAGATAAGGAAAGCCAAAGGAAATTTGCTGCACCTGTTATCTGGATATTTGGCATTCTTAACAAGTTAAATCCCCAGGAAGCCAGAGTAACAGATGACAGGAAAAAAAATGTAAATTGCATTATCATCTTCGACATGCTAATATACATGAGTGCTGAAAATCCCATTGAAAGGGGACTGGCTTATTAAGCTGTGGCATGCTGCAATTTACATATCTCACCCTCCAGATGTGAAGGGATAAATGAGAATGGAGTGTGCTCAGATCAGCAGGGGATAAGAAAGAAAAATACATATTGGCTATTAATTTGGCCAACTGAAGAAAAAGTGACACAGTGAAAAGTTTGCCTTTAATTTTTCCTAAAATAAATCTGGCCTTAGTTGGTTCTCTGCTACATTCTGGAGCAGTACTAAAGACAGTACAACTAACCCTAGCTGGTCATTCTATGCATGGCCCTGCTGGCTTTACAATGATAAGAGTGAATGTAGATGCCCAGGAACTGAAAAAGCTACTAAGAGTGGGGCTCTGCCGATGGTTTTAGTGTAACATGATCTTTACAGAAAAAGGGGATCCAAACTAGCAGCAAGAGCTTCCCCAAATACACACCATCATTCTTAGTTAGCGAAAGAAGAAATTACTATGTCCTTAGAGAAACAAATTCTGTAAATTATATTATTATAGAGTCCAAATCTAACACAATATCTTAATGTATCCAAAATTGAATAGTTAAATTTCCCATAGGTAGCCATATGTATCCTCATATGTCTCTTCATATGTGCATGTAGCCTTTGATAACTTTCAAACACTTAGCAAAAGAAACAGTAAAGCAACACTTAAATTTTAATTAGGGTTTCCCAATAGACATGCAACAGTTAGCGAAACGGAATGATAAGGAGGAATAAAAAAGCTAAGAGTAAGATAAGCAGCTACGAAATATAGCCAAATAATAACTCTCAGTGGGAGTGTTAGAATTTTCATATTTATAGAGTAAATACAACATATCTAAAATACATTTTAATTATTTATTTGCTATATAGATAAATAGTAATAAAATCTTTTAGCTTTCGATTAGAGAAAAATTAAAATCTATATAAAGAAAACAGTATAGTATAACAAATCCCATGTACCCATCACCCAGATTCAACAATTATTAATATTCTATCATTCTGGCTTTGTCTATACCTCCAAACATTCCCACTTCTATTATTATTATTTTTCTATGGTTTTTAAAGTAAAATTTAGATATCCTGGAAAGCATAAATATTAAATGTACAATCTTGACAAATGAATTCATCCATATAACTCACACACCTATCACGATATAGAACATTCCACCTTCTCAGAAATTCCAGGTATCCCCTTCTCAGCCAGACTACTTGCAAGTAGAACAATACTTACCCAACAAAAGATATATTCTCTCCAGCACAGAAAAAAATTAAGTTAAGCCAACTCTTCAAATACGGCAAACTTTATATTTCAAGCTACATGAAGTTTTATAATCAGCTCCCTATAGAAATGTCATGGTAGGAATTTGACACCCAAACTAAACCCAGTCACCGTTCTCTGCAGTTAGTATTCAGATATAGAGCCTGAAGAAAAAACAAGAATTTCAACGACATGTAACAAAAAGCACTACTTCTGGAGCTATTTATCTTTTTGTTTATTTCAATACTACCCCAAAATGACAGGTCCATAAACACGACCCGAGAAATAAATAGTAATATTACAAAGTAACAGCAGTGTTATATTATAATGGAATTTCTAACCACTCACTACAGTGATACATGATTGGCAGACCACATTAAAATCTCTTTCTCTCTTCTCTCCAAAAAAGTAGGAACAATAGCAATAGTAGCAAGAACACTGGTAATGACATTGACAGCTGCTAATAAGTATTAGTGATGATAAGCATTCAAGCTAGGTTTCTCTGTTTCCATTATGCTCTTTTAATTCCAATCATAATGGCACAATACAGATCAGAACACAATTTTTAACATTATATATAACCTCACATTTTGTTATGCCTATTTAAGCCTTGATTTTTGTCCTTACTCCTTCAATCATGCTGGTAAAACCCCTTTCTTCCTTCCCACAAGTCCTCACTTTGACCCAAATAAAGGAAAACTGAACCCACAATTTTGTGCTCTTGGAGAAGGGCTTGGGAGGAAGCCTCCTACCTCAGTCCCCCTTCCTTCTGGGAAGAAGTGGAATTTCTACAACTGAGAAGAGCTGAGAATGGGCTGGATTCCCCATAGCTGTAGTGGTGCTAAGGGGAAATGGCCTCTTTTTGAACTCAGGCTCCTTCTAGCCTGCCTGTGGGTAGGTGAGGTAAGCAGAGCAGGCAAGTATCTGCTCTCAGCTCTAGCTTCTCCACTCATGCACGAGTGGAGCTATCAGTTAGGTCAGCTCTTTACCAAAGACCAGTTATCTACTAGTCACTGAGAAGAAGGAGGCCCTGTCTAGGCCTCAGGTCCTGGCCACATTCTTTGCCATTAATGAGAATGATACTGTGATCAATATTTGGATCTTGGATCTCTTTCCTAAACTAGTTAGAATCTGGGAAAGAGGAATGTAACTAACTGATCTCAAACTTCCAAGAAGCCATAGTCTTTATCCTTTGTCTCAGCTCACTGTATCCAGGCCAACCTTTTCCTTTTTGGCATCCTTCTAGCTATGTGGTCAAACATAAATATGCTGAGGTAGGTGCCACAAGAGCAGAGGGGAATATCCAGAAGGATTACCCTTCTTTATATCCTGGCTACTCACAGCTCATATAAGCCCTCAGCACTCTGACAGTTCTTTCCTCATTCCCAGTGGTATGCCATCCTTCTTCTTACCTATCCTATTCATTCTTCTCACCACCACCACCAGCACCAACAACAATAACACCATCAACAACACCGACAACACCATCAACAATACCAATACCACCACCATCAGCACCGAAACCCTCAACAACACAACTAGCACCACAAAACCAATACCTCTAACGATAACACTACCAAAACCAACACCAACAATGCCACCGCCTGCACCACCACCTCCGTGAATGTGCAGAATTGCAAACTGCTAGTGACAAGCATTCAGCCAATTTTCTTGGCAGACCTGCTACTACCTTGTTCTCCTCCGGAGTGAAGACGACTCGGAATATGGATGGCACTCCTGGAGCTACTTTGTGGCCAATATCTTTGGGGCTGATTACTTTAAAGTAAGGTGAACTTTCCTCAACAACTTTCACCATCCTTGGAATCTGCAAGAAAAACACACAGTGATGACACTGTGCATGTGAAAATACAGAAGAAAAAGCACAGGCTTTGCAGTTAAACATGAAATCTCCATCTATTACTAACTATGCAACCTTGCTCAGGTCTAAACCCATTTTCATCAAAGGAGATGACAGTACCTACCTTTATTACAGTGCCTTATACAAAGTAAGCATGCAGTGCATTTTAGCTTTAATTTTTATTAACATTATTACTCATTTTTATTGTTATTACAAGTCTTTGTTCATTTTATTATTTAAAAAAAAAAAAAAAAAAACTCAAGCAGGAGCCAAAAAGTAATGTAGAAAGAGGAAAAGAGAACTGGAAATGAGAAACTAAATTGGTTGGCAGTCCTATATGAAAAGAGAGAGTCCTAATGTTATGTAATATATCGCTTCTTGAGGTCTAGGAACATAACCCTGAACATCTAGGTTCTTTTTTCTCTCTATGCCTACCCTTTCGCTTCATCTCATAAGCTTCTCTTGCTAACACTCCTGTAGCAAAGAACTAAATATATCACTTTCTCCAGAGTCTGGCTTTGCTCTCATGAAATCACCCTACTGATCTCTGAAAGGCATCACTGATTCCTTTAATGAGCTATTGTACCGAATATAACTGCAAGTCTTCCCATTGGCCTTGGATTCTTGCACAGTCCTTACTTATTTTCCCTTTTTTCTTATAGTGATAATTTCTATCCACATTCTTAGACTCCTGTAAGCATTCCTACTTGTCTTTACACCTCAAGTTTGGCATCTCTCAGATGCCTTCCTCCCTGATTATTCTTCACACTTAACTGTGCTTCGTGCTGACCTTCAGCCTTATTCTTTCTTCATTCTTGTTAGATGTCAAGGAAATCTTCAGGAATTTAATTCCTTTTCTTAAAATAAACCCTAATTTATCTCTGGGGAAAAAAGGCATAAGAAAAGAGAAGAAATCTTCAGGTGCAACCACAGAGACAAGGTATAAACAGTGGGAGAAGCCATCCAAAATGATCTTATCTGTAAACAAAATCTGAAGGCTATCTGAGGTAGGCAAAGGAGATAAAAAAGAGGGAAAGCAATCTTCATTTTTTTTTTTGAAGTTTTTTTTTTTTTTTAATACAATTTGTAGAATACAAATGCATTGGCTGGACAATTGCAATTCATAAAAGGAATTAGACTCTAATGCAAATTATGTAAACATGAAAAGTAATTGCCCTGTCTTAAATGAAGCCTAGCCCAACTGGTCACACATGAGAACTTCATGACATTCATCTGAGCCAATCCTTTATTCATCAAAACATCAGTGTATGTTGGGAGTTTATTGTTTGTTGGGCACTGCCCTGGGACTGAAAATATAGCAACAAACAAAACAACACAATCTTGTCTTCACTAAGCTTACAGTCAAAGGGCATGTTTTCATTTATTTTCCTAAGTCTATCAAATTAAAGAATTAATCTAAAATCCTACATG